TCCCTTGACCATATCTAAGTAACGTGAAATTGTTGTACAAACCCGCCCCGGTATACCATAGTATAAACGTGCACAGGTTTTAATTAATATTATTATTCTCTTTATCAATTATTATTAGTCTCTTTTACTTTCATTGGAATAAGGCAGTCAAACATTGGCTAATCTTGAATTTATTGGAGTGTCTTTTGTGAGACCAATGCAAATTGGTCTTTGCTACCTTTTGATAATTTTTACAATTACCTTTCAGTGGCGGCTCGTCAGAGGGGGCAGGGGAGGCTAAGCCTCCCCTAAAAAATTGAAAATTCAATCTCAATTTTTTATCCCTGATTTGATTCCTAATTAAAATAATAATTCACAAATTAACCTTTCCAAATTTCGATATTTCAATGTGATTTAGAACAATCTGACAACATTATTTAAATCAATTCCACGCCTCCACGACAAAAATCTGTGAATCTGTCCCTGTCCTGCAATTATTCTAACAATTGAAATCGACCGGAGGCTAGACTCTCATATGCTTCAATGAAATCTAGCATTCAAATGGACCGCGAATCTGAGCGTCCAATAGACATGCCGGAAACATATCGAACCACTACTGGCGTTCAGCTATCATAATCTCTAAGAGCGGCTAGCCGCACGCACAGTTGAAAACTACCATTTCTTGCTTTTTTTATCTCTGTTTTATGCATTAAGAGTTCCATGTCACTTTTCTAGTCGGAAATTGTAGATTTATAGTTGATTGATATTTTTTTGCATCAGGTGCATTGTTAATAATTATTGTGCAATTGTGCATCTTGTGGCAGTAAGTACATAATTATTATCGTAATTAATCATAATTATCAATTTGTGCTTTCCTTGTATTTTTTATTTTTTATTTTTCGTCAAAATTAACTCTGAAAATATATACTTATATTAGTCTAAGAGCCCGTGACACAAAAGCCTCAGTCATCTGTTAGAAGGCCGTTTTTTGGTGGCCCGTTATGCCAAGTCCTCGGTCAATTAAAAAACGTAATGGTTGGCGGGTTTCGGTGTGCAGAAGCTGAGGAGTGGATGAATTTTCACTACCCTAAAATAAGGCTTTCTACCTTATGAGTTAGAAGCTTTTTTTTGTCCTGAATAAATAATGTGGACCTACTGAGGCCTGAACAGGAATGGTTGGCGGGCCTTCCCCCTCTCTTCACCATGCCCACCGCGTTTTAAGTGAGATTCCCAAGGGAAGTTCCCACCTCACAAGTCAGAAGGACGAAAAAAAGTGGAAATTATACATTTCCACTTCCTCGTCCGTTCTACGCTGGGTTGGCAGCCGGTTGGAGCTCTATTGTTTATTTAAACATATGTTTTTGCGAAATTGAAGTTGAAGAAATCAAATCAAATCAAACACACTTTTTAATTTAACTGCTAAATATTTTGGGAAATTGGAGAAAAAAAAAAAAACATCAGAATTGCCTCAAATTGGACATAAACATACTTTCAGGAGCGGCGGATACAGGAAGGGGGCGCGCCCCTCTCTGAGAGTCTGAAAATCTACTCGAAAGAGTTTTGAGTAAAACATTTGAAAAAAAAAACATACTTATTCAGAAAAAGTTTCCAAAAAATTTTATATAAAAAATTTCCAAAAAGAATGTTATAGAAAATTTTTCGAAGCTGACACCATTGTTGAATTTTTCGTTTTGTTCTTATTAGATAAATTTGTATTGCGTATTTTTATTTTGAATAGGTATTTTTATTATTTTCCGTTTTTTGATATTATGTACTTACTGAGTACAGGGTGGTCCAATTTGATATACCACCAACCGTTTTGTCGCTAGAGGGCGTTTCTCGATTTTGAGAAAAACTGTGAAAGCTTATAACTTTTTCAAGTACGTCATTGGATTTTGCTTGAAAAAGTACCTCTAGAAATTTGATACCTACATAAATCAATAATTTTCATAAATAAAAAAAATATATTTGTACAGTTCACACCCAGTAGAAGTCAAACCTTCAATAAACTATGTTGAGAGAGAATGAAATACACAAACTAGGTACAACGGTTGGTAGACAAGAGTGGGGAGGCTACGAAGCACCGCACAAAAAGGAGACGGGAGACGAAGAATAGGGAACGCTGTACAAAAGTATTCCATCTTATTCTCTAGCTGGCTAAATCCCATAGATCTATATGTTTGTCTCTTTTCAGTGTCGCTTTTTCGTTTTATCGAGTCGAGTCTTAAATCACTCCCAACGATTCTGAAGAAGTTTTCACTTCAAAAGTGATAAGGTTTCACAGTATTGCTCAAAATCCAGAAACATCCTCTATAGTGCAATTTGATCTTCAGTGGGGGGGGGGGGGGGGTTATTTTTTTGTATCTGGTCTCAGAAATTTACGTTTCTTATCAAAAGTATCCAAATTGGAACACCCTGCACATTCTCACAACGTATAAATAAAGTAAAAATAAATGTTTGAAAAATTATTTTTCATAATTCATAACCTGCGCCCTCCCTGACCAAAGTATGGGTTAGTAGATAATCGATCAAAGAATTCTGCCGAGGTTTATGCCAAATTTGAGCCACTCTAATGTGGGTTTATTTAAGCCATTCTGCTGTTTTTTTTTTTCTCCTTGCAGAAAAAAATTATGTATGTAACCTGCAGATGAAATCGCATTTATCAGTTGATGAATGTGTGTATTATTTTTTTTATCCATGTGAAATTTATAAAAACCTCCAATAATGCTTTAGATTATAGCGAGGGAAAATACAACTTCAATTTCGCAAAAACATATGTTTAAATAAACAATAGAGCGCCAACCGGCTGCCAACCCAGCGCAGAACGGACGAGGAAGTGGAACTGTATAATTTCCACTTTTTTTCGTCCTTCTGACTTGTGAGGTAGGAACTTCCCTTGGGAATCTCACTTGAAACGCGGTGGGCATGGTGGAGGGAGGGGGAAGGCCCGCCAACCAATCCTTTTCAGGCCTCAGTAGGTCCGTATTATTTATTCATAACAAAAAAAAAAGCTTCTAACTCATAAGGTAGAAAGCCTTATTTTGGGGTAGTGAAAATTCATCCACTCCTCAGCTTCTGCACACCGAAACCCGCCATCCATTACGTTTTTTAGTTGACCGAGGACTTGGCATACCGGGCCACCAAAAAACGGCCTTATAACAGATGACTGAGGCTTTTGTGCACTTGAAGTTAACTTCTGGTACATTGGCGAATTTACAGCCGCCTTTGTCTTGGTATTCAGTATTCCCCAAATACCGCGTGCGTAGCTCTGGTTAAAGTCAATTTAACATATTTGTGTATTTAAATTTATCATAGTTTTTTTCGATTAAAGTAGTTATTTGCAAATAACTTGAAAACGAATAAAGATATCGGATTGCGGTTTTCTCCAAAATGTAGATAATTTTATGCTCTTTAAGCACAGTTATAAAAAAATATATCATGCCATTTGGATTTTTCAAGAAAACTGGGAAAAACTGGATCTTGGTTAAACAGCGCCCTCTAGAAAACGCGGTGCGATTTATCGACCCCAAACGAAGTGGTGCTCTTAATAACAATGAAAATCTGTTTCAAATAAGCCCAAATTGAATGGGTTTGGATAAGAGGTATGGAAGATACAGCAATTTTTAAAACTATTTTTTCACCAGCTTCCCCCACCCTTAATAGTGAAAATACGAAAAAAGCCTAATGAGCAAACTGGCGCAAAAATTAACGAACTTTTGATTTCTGTTGGTAAAACAGTACCTTAATATGGCGATTTTTCGAGAAAATTTGAATTTTTAGTTATATCATCGTGATTGCGCCCCCTAGCGGCCATCTTAGAAACTTGAAAATATTTTTCATCAATTTCTCTTGGCCGATTTAGTCACTAAAAAAAAAATCCCGATGCTGTAAGGCCTATGGTTTCCATAATAACGTACCTCGTCGACCTTAGTGGGACACCCTGTATATATTACCTTCTATGGGCCTTTGGAATGCAATTGCAGTTTTAAACATCCCCCCCCCCCCCCCATCATTGTTTTTATATCTGACTTTTATTTTAGTAAAGTTTATTTAAATGATAGGTACATTGAGTGGGCACATCCTAGAGGAATTTTGGAGATCAGGGACTTTCTGGTTTAAGTCCGCGGATTTTATTTTGTAAACCAGTGGCGCATATTGAACCTACTCCCACACTGACTGAGTAGCCGCGAGCACTTTGTTGCCTAAGGGTGTCTTACTGTGCCTAGGCCTATTAGGGTCCATTTATTCAAATTCATTATTCAAACGGTTTAAGGGTAAATTTTGCGCAACAAAATAGAATTATCTTATTGATCCTACTAATTAATGCACCAACTGTCCTACTAATAATCGCACTTCTGACACCAAATTGTCATGGATTCCGGATGCACTAAAACTTACAACGGTAACAACTTTTATTAAACTAATTGACTTTATAAAATTCACTTATCAAAATCTACACGGCAAATATCGAATTAAAACTGACTTACTTGAGCTAGGTACTACTTCGCGCTTTTCATAGCAGACAGTGTACTCGGGATTTATCTAGAAAAACCTGAGAATAGAATTCTCCGAATTGTTTACGCTACAATAATTGCATTTCTTAGAATGCGGCCGGGTTCCCGAGGCAAATTCCTAACAATATGATTTTTCATTTTGCATTCAATTTTATTTTTTTTTTCAGCGGAGATTATCTGACATCTATAAGTAATCCAATGGCAACATCATCCCTCACAAAATCGAATCCAATATCGTTGACCAAACGAGCCTCTGGAAAAAAAATCGAACCGGAATGTCAGGATTGCATGTAAGTTTGTCAACATATAAAATTGTATAAAACCACGGTAACTTTTTTTTTTTTAGAGACAGTTACAGGTGTAAAGTACTAAAAAAGTGTAGTCAGTGTTTCGGAAAATGTAGTGATCCAGCTGATGTACCCTTTGATGGTATATCTCCATTCAGGGAGGTAAGAATAGTCGAAAAATTTAGGAAAATTATCCTGTAGTATTGAATTTTTTTTTTCTAGCGAGTAGGCTTAGCAAATCGAATGAAACCACTTAAAAGCGACGACATATTTTCCAAGACCATGTATCCAATCGCTACGTATAGAGACGGTGAAACGAAAAATATTATTTGCAGGATTATTGGAATCTCGGATATTTCTGATATAGAAACTGTAAGTGATAATAGTTATTTATACACCAAGTGAGTTAAATGAATGTTTATTCATGAGAAGAAAGTTTAACCCACGAGCCCTAGCGAGTGGGTTAATTTTCTTCGAGGGCTTTAAATGCCCTCTTATACACGCATATCACACGCTATTTTTTATTACGAATGCATCTTAATCTCAAAAAGGTTTTAAAAGTGTTAATTCATTTTGATAAGTAGTAATTTAAATAGCAGGTATGCAGGTAAATATCTAGGTAATGAAGGTAGATCGAACGTTTCTATAGCAAACCTTTGAAAAGGTAGACGCATCATAAACATCATTTTATGCACGCTGCAGCGTGCGATAATCGTTGATTATGATGCATGCGTAATAAAAAATATTTTAAATCACTCAGGTGCTTTGCTATTATGCGTTCAATAATGTCATTTTTAAACGTCAAAATAGGATAATAGTTATTTATACACCAAGTGAGTTAAATGAATGTTTATTCATGAGAAGAAAGTTTAACCCACGAGCCCTAGCGAGTGGGTTAATTTTCTTCGAATGAATAAAAATTTTATCCTATTTTGATAGACATCTAAATTAATAAGAATCAAATTTTAAAAAGAATATTCATTTAGTAGCACATGAAAGGTCTAAAATTGAAATTGGTGGTTGCTAGGGTATAACCAGTTGTTTGTTTGTATTTGTAGCAGATTCTATACTGGTAGAGTGACTTAAAAGACCGAGAGTGAGTTAAAAATATTTTAAATCACTCAGGTGATAAACGTCTACTTACCTTTGCTATTATGCGTTCAATAATGTCATTTTTAAACGTCAAAATGGGATAAAATAATTATAAGTAAAATATTTTCTTGCATAGGCCTCGTTTGGTGTTGATTATTTATTAGTCAATTCATTTTTGGGTGGATTTTTTTTACCTCAAATACGTTTTCATGTTTGAAGAGGGTAAGCCACAAATAAGATTTAAAAACCGAAAATACCCTTTTTTCCTAAGATTGTTATTCGCCCTTTAGATCCAAGTTTTCAATATTTTATCAAGGGTCGAAAATGTAAATTTATTTATGTATCTTTTGGGTCGAACATATTTTTTTTTATTTGATCAGGTTTTATTAGTATTTGTGTAACGCGTAATACGATGTGGATAGAGAAAGAAATGGAAAATCAATATTTTTTATTGGTCTGAAACCCATAATGATTCTCAAGAAATTTTGTCTGTTTTAATTTTAATTGCTCTATTTGGCGTCCGAGGGGTAACGATAGAATATTTCCAATAAGCACATAATTTTAGAGTAGGTATTTACTTTCGCGTTAATGTTATTTCATCATTCATTGAATATTTTGAACATTTTTATTGGAGTTTTCTTCATCAATTTGAAGCTTTTAGATGGTTCCACTATTATAAAGCTCTTTATCAAAGACGTTGTGACAAAAATCTGATTTTTAAGGAGAATTTCGAAATGTCTTCCATCTCGAGAAGGCTTTTCTATATAACATTGTAAAAATATTCTCCAGTGGTATCCAGATTTCCAGTGATGGATTACTAGACTATCCCATTGAGAATGCCGCGTTTTTAAAAATAATTTCCTTATCTTTCAGATTGACACAATCAGAAATTTGTCCAAGAATGCTAACATGGGTTTGTACTTAGGTTTCACTTATACTTACGACTTGAACAAATTTATTTAGAAGGGTATTTAGAATTTTGTCCTTTTTCGTAATTTCATTTTTCATTGGTAGATGAGTTCTTTATGCACTAGCAAAGTCGACTTTGAGTTAGAAATTTTAATCGCCATGGAGGAAAACTCCGACAGTAGGTATTAGTGATGAGAGTTATGGAGAACTTGAAAAGGCCGACTGTAATCAGACCGTAGAATCTGCAAAGAGGAGTTTTATTCAGAATACGGTTTGTGTCTGTCAAAATTAATTTTGGATGTTTTTTTTTTTTTGGAGAAATATCCATAATTTCAAATGGACTGTTAAAAACGTTTTCCGCTTTGGTTTTATTTGGGATCTTTAAAGTAGACAGAAGTAGACAGAAACATTTGAAGCACAAAAGTTAAACTTCACGTAATCATTTAGCGCTTCGTTACTGCTTCAATGTGCTGCAATCCCCAAATTAGCAACCCTTGTATTTTCGGAGATATTTCGTTTTTTTCAAATCGCCTGCTTACTTCACACCCAGCAGGAACAAGGGAAGCACCAACGTTCAGTTACAGATGGTTAGTGTTTCGTAAATGCTTCAATCCTCAAATAGCAATCCTGAAATTCTCAGAGATATTTCGGATTTTAGAAATTGCCTGCTTACTTCAGACTCAGCAGGAGCAAGGAAAGCACCAACGTTGAGTTACAGATAAATGATTAGTGCATCGTTAGTGCTTTTATGTGCTTCAATCATCAAATTAGCAACCCTTGAATTTTCAGAGATTCCGGTTTTTAGAATAGCCTGCTTAGTTCACACATAGCAGGAGCATTAGAAGCACCAACCTTTAGTAGTTGTAGATAGATGGTTACGTTAGTGCTTCAATGTGCTACAATCTGCAAATTAGCAACCCTTCTATTTTCAGAGATATTTCGGTTTTTAGAAATCGCCTGCTCACTTCACACCCAGCAGGAACAAGGGAAGCAGCAACGTTCAGTTACAGATAAATGATTAGTGCTTCATTAGTGCCTCAATGTGCTCCAATCCCCAAATTACTAACCCTTGATTTTCAGAGATATTCCGTTTTTAAAAATCGCCTGCATGCTTAGTTCATACATAGCAGGAACATTGGAATCACCAACGTTAAGTTGTAGATAGATAGTTAGTCCTGATAAAGATCATTGCACTTGAAATTGTGATAAGTTGACTATAACGGCTACTCAAAAGAGAAACTAAGGCCCGGTATATTCACTTTCTGATAAACTATCAGGTATAGCATCTGAAGGATGAAAACGCAATCTATAATCCTATTGGTTTATGCTGTTCATATTCTCGGTTCTTGGTCCAGGTAGGGTGAAATCAGCAGGCGATTGCAGAGTCGAAATATCTCTGGAAGTATAAGAGTTGTTAAAAGCTGAGGTGATGCATCATGAAGCACTAACGAAGCACTAACAATTTATCTACAATTGAACGTTGGTGCTTTTAATGTTCCTGCTGGTTGTGAAGTAAGCAGACGATTTCTGATAATCGAAATATCTATGAAAATTTAGGGTTTGCTAATTTGGAGATTGAAGTACTAATGAAGCACTAAGCACTAACCATTTATCCATAACTGAGCGTTGGTGCTTTCTTTGTTCCTGCTAGGTTTAAAGTAAGCAGGCAATTTCTAAAATCCGAAATATCTCCAAAAATACAAGGGTTGCTAATTTGGGGAGCACTAACGAAGCCCTAAACAATTACGTAAAATTTAACTTTTGTGCTTCAAGTGTGCCTGCCTACTTTAAACTTCAGTATAACTATACTTTATCACCTATGTTCTATCCGTGAAAACTTTCAGAGTCCGGTTGATCAAATCCGATTTTAGATTTATCTTTTCAAGTTTAGATCCCATTTTCAGCTATTTTGTAGGTTATTCCATGCGATTCTTTCCTAGTTTCCTATGTTGATATGAGTTGTTTTTGGTTGTAAAGCGTTTTAGGTGGTCTGTATAATGTATTTTCACAATAAGTGGTCGACTGGGTAGCTTGGAAGTTTTATGACTTCTTCTTCAAAAACAGACCATATCCGCTCTAGTGTTTAGCCAAATATAATCCGCTTCCTTTTTTTCCCAGCGCAATAGTTTCCATAGTTTTGTTGAGAACGAGCATCATTCACAATTTTTGCAATTCCGGCCGCCCCACCGCTCAAAACGCCCAGTGCGCTAAGCCCCGCGTACAGAGGTATCAGCGGAATAATTCCTCCAATTTTTGGTACTCGAATAGTTCGCGGAATTTTAATCTTTTTACGTCCACTAGCTTTTCCAACCATCTTGCGAGCTTCTTGAAGAGCCGATTTAATAAAGTCCCTCGTTCCCTTATTCTCAAGATGCTTCACTTGCTTTTCCACATTAGAAACAACATAAGATTTAAATTGTTTGGCTTAAGGGCTCTCCTGCATCCCATGTCGAGTTTACGTTTGGCTTTCATTGCAGTCGTTACAAGCTATGCAGCACTTTTCTCACCGAAACCAGAATCCTTAGCCTCAACTCGTTCCCACGCTTATTCTCTAACACTTCATCCGCCTCATATCTGTATTCAAGATCCGTATTATTACGTATTGAATATCGTGTTCCTTACAGTAACTAAGTTCTAGCTTAGTGCCTAGGCCGCAGTAACAGTAGCTAGGTGAATGAAGCTCAAACGGAAGCTTGTCACTGGCGCTATCTAACACACCTGTAGATACTCGATGCGCATTCATTTAGAATGAAACCGAGCTAAAGAAAGCACGATTTATAAACGATGCGAAAGATAGAATAGGAACTTAAAATTGAAATTGATAACGGTGATAAAAGGTCTGTCCAAACACACCAGGAAACCGTAGAATGTACCGTCACGATCCTGCGCAATGCGTAAAATTTGTGCGTAGAAACCGAAACTCAAACTCGTTCACGGAGTGGTTTTTGACGTGTTGGAACAGACCTATTAATGAGTCTAACAGTAGAAAAAGACATGGAGTTCTTTTACCAAACACAATCAGATCCATAGTATGTGACCTAGTAATTCGGGAAAAACGAATGTTATGCTAAGTCTTTTGACTGATGAAAATGGTCTTAGATTTCGAAATATGTAGTCGTGAGCATAAAAAGTGGGACACCCGTTTTTTCCTATTGTAAAACGAGCTCATCAGCTATACCTACGGCAATGACAGGGATTGGCATATTTGACAAAAAATCCATTGTAGAGAAAAGACTGATTTACCCAAAATAGCGAAAAATGACAAGACCTGTCAGTCGGGTGTCCCACTTTTTAGGCTCACAACTGTATGTGTATTCCAAGTCATTGTATCAAGACAAGTATAAGTTCCTGGAGGAGGTTTTAATGCGAGTCGACGGTATAAACTTTTACAGCTATAGCGATAATGGAACCGTTGTAGATCCACAAATGGCTCAGTCAGATTCAGTGTTTATATTTGATGATGTGGCCTGTGAGAAGCAAGACAAGATACGAATTGCATGGGTCGTCACAATTTTATTGATTCTTTCTATCTTTGTGAGACGTATTCGAAAATCCCAAAACAGCTGGTTAGAGATAATGTTAATATGTTGGTTCTTTTCAAGCAGGATGATATGAACCTAAAACATGTCTATGACGATCATTTTAACACAGAGATCCGGAGTTGTAATTAAATTATAGATAAACTATGATTCTGGTATTGGAATATTTGAAGTGCTGTCACCATCCTGAAAAAAAAAACCATCTGACATCCGTGTGCGCATTCAGTACTCACTTGGTACCATTATAAGGTGACCCAGAATACTATTCACGCAATTTACCCTCGAAGGGGCTAATCAATGTCGGCGGATTTGGATTATTTCAGTTTGAGTGAACAGAAGATAAGCGAAGACAAAGAGACTGAGGAAAACAACGCAATAACGCAGAAAATGTCAAAGGAAAGGTAGGAGGATATCCCACACACAACCGACAAAGATGCTTTATAAGGTGGATTCCTAAATTCTCATCCTTGGTCACAATGAATTATCTTACTTGTTCATGATACGTTGGAAGGTGGAAGGGCATTCTTTAAACCAAATGAGAAACGAAAAACGTCGTCAGAATTTTGTTGTAGTGATTCCATCCTGGCCAGGGGCCATCTGAGAAAGGGCAAGTTCCATCACTTCTGTAGTGATATCTGACAAATTTTCAGAAAAAATATTCACAATTTTTCGATGGACTATGTCGACAGGGGTAGAATTCCCCTTTGAATAGAGTTCTCTGTACAATTTAACTTGATTTTTTTTCTTCTGTATTGTAATTCCTTATATCTTGGTGGAGCACTGGCTTAGATGTGATAAACCTCTTGGATTTGCGAATTATTCACTGTTGTCGAACTATTCTCGAAGGCAGTATGCACATGGTGGAGTATTGATCATCATACAGAACGACTTCCTCAGCAAATTTAAGTTTATTTCAGCTGAGAAATTTGATCATCTTCTGAAGGAGAAAGTTTTCGAAGTTTCTGTTCTCTATTGTAGTTGTTTTAACTTGTATGTATTGGAGATTTATAGATCCCCTTCTGGGAATATTCAATCATTCATGAATGAACTGGAATCCCTGGTTAACTGGACTTTCACTTAGCGCTAACATAATTTTGACTGGTGATTTAAATATAAATTTCTTCGACAGGAACAATAGACATATTCATTTGCTGTGTCACTTGTTGGATTCTTTTAATGTGTGTATGCATGTCAGCCAACCAGACTTACAGCTTTGTCATCATCTGTCCTAGATTATAAAATTTTCTAATATTGATGCAGACTCAGCGGAGTGTAAGACTACTTATGCTGGGTTGTCTGATCATAAGGCTGTGCATGTTGCTTCTCTTTTAACGTACACACTGAAAATACTCCATGAAAAAACAATATTTCACTCAATACTTTTACAAATATCGCAAAATTTATCGAAATTCCATAAGACTCTCTAAGGACATGTATTACCGTAAAAGAATCAAAAAACATGTCCAAAGAATCATGGAGGATTATTAGTGACTTATTGGGGAAAAATAAATAATGAGAAAGTGGTTATAAGCAAGTTAATAGCTAATGGTATTCATCAACCGCTTGATCCCAGGATCTATCTGGAGCACATTGTGGTGGCTGAAACATTCTTTTTTTCCCCAAAATCAATACAAGAGATTAAGGAAATTATTTGCGAGATTAAAAGTAAGAATAGATCCGTTTCGGATAATTTTTCTTTGAGGGCTGTGCCTTGCTGTGGGTATTCCCTTGCGTAAGGGTGGAGACCACGATACATCGTCAAACTTTCGTCCAATAACGCTGCTACCTATTGTGAATAAAATAGTGGAAGGATCTTAGCCTTTCTTACTGCTATTTGCACCGCTACAACTTAAGGTCAGCCTTAGTCTTAAGTGGAACTTAAACTACGATTTTGCTTTGCACCGTTGTTTAGGGTCCACCTCAAGTCTAGTTAAGTTAAGCCCCGGATTTTCTCCGCTTAGTTGGATTCTAACCTCATTTTTGGGTTTTGTTTTCTTTTTTTGACAGAATTCTGGTTGACTGATTATCGATGATTTTGTATTTGTAATATCCAAGGTTCCAAGAGCCTTTTCTCCGAAGACTGCATGTTTAAAGCAAAAAAAAAATATATATATGTTTATTTTCATAGCAAAAACAAGTTTTCCGAAGTTTTTTTTATGGTTGTTCCTGTTATTTAGTTATTTGTTAATGCTTTTATTTTTGTGCGTCGGGTAATTTCTACAGAATTTTGCACAAGAATGCCAAAAATATATTCAAAATAATATCCATGTGATATAACTTATGAAAGAAAAGACGAAATTAACGAAAATATTTATATTTTAATCGCAAAGATAGGTTAACGGATAAATTCCTTGCTTGAAATAGGTACATCCTCCTTCATTTCTGCCTTGAAACACGCATTTTTGCGCTGTTGCCAATAGCTTTCAATTCTTAGCTAAGATTTGGTCGGTGCAAAGCAACTCAACCTAAAGGTTCACCTTAAGCTTAGCCTCTACCTAACTTAGGTTGTTTTTAAGGAACACCGGTGCAAATAGCTGTTAATGGTCTTGGGCTCCTGAGCGCCCTACAGTTCGGTTTCCGAGAGAGGATGCTTTTTCAATTTCCTTGAGCTACTCTATAACTAGTTGAATTGTGGGAAGGTGGCCTCGGCAGCGTTTTGTGACTGGTCCAAGGCCTTCGATTGTATAAATCACGAGTTATTGCGGTGGAAGAAGAATGATATGGTTTTGGGGGCGCTGGTTGAAGGTGGATTCACTCCTACTTGTCGGGTAGATCGCAGACCGTGAGACTTCAGGATGGTGAGTCAAAACAAATGAACATCAATGTTGGGATCCCACAGGGCTCTGTGCTGGGACCTATTCTTTTTCTCGTTTACGTCAATGTGCAATGATTTACCCTATGTCCCAATTTCGGGAAAGATTACTCTTTTTGCAGATGATATGACCATCTTGTAGCACGGTTCAGATGTGGAAAGGTTGAACAATGACATTGATGTAGATTTGAGGAGGGTGAAGGCCTGGTCCGAGTACAATTTATTATCGTTTAATATCTCGGAAACCAATGTTCTGAACTTTAGATGCGAACTAGAAAATGTTCACCTAAATGATAATCCTGTAACTCGACAAAACCACAACAAATTCTTGGGCCACACAATTAGTACCAGCCTCAAGTTTGAGAATCACATTTCTAATGTTCGTAAAAGGGTTTCTTCGGGATGTTATGCCTTAAGAGTGATATGTGGAAGCTTGGATGTCTCGGTTGCTAGGAATGCATTCTACGCTTTGGTGGAGTCACACCTACATTATGGCATATGCTTTAGGGGTCCCGTTCATTGTTTGATTCAGTGTTTCTGCTTCAGAAGAGGGCAATCCGTTGTACATTCAGGGTCATTACTGGTGATTCCTGTCGCCCTCTTTTCATCCGCCACGTTATCCTTAAGCTTTATTCGCTGCTTATACTAGAAATGTTGTGCATGATGTTCGGGAAGTACGGGGCTGAGCTGGAGGTGCACAAACATCACAATACTTGTCAGTCTTCTCTTCTCAGTTTGCCCATACCATATTCACAACTGGTGAAAAAAACCATTTATACATGTAGGTAAAAAACTGTGCAATCACCTTCCAATAGAAATAAGAAAGCTTACATGCTACAAGAGTTTTAGGAAGCAGGTTAGGGCTTTTTTTGGCTAATAAAGCATACCCTTGATGAATATTTTAATTAAACCATAGTAACTGGTTGAGGTAATATATTGTTGGACCTTATAATTTTCTTGTACCTACCTCCAATTTGTGATATCTAATGTAATGAATCTTATTTTTAACCGATGACTCTGGACTTCTCCAAGTCATCCGTCTTTCAAGTGAGTTCAGAAAGTATGCAATCATTTAATACCTACTCATTTGGAGGTAGTATGGTATATCTTCCGTACAATTAGCTAGGTACCTATACTGTATTTTTTCCCAAGATAGATTTTGACATTGTCAACTTTGAAACATAAGCAATACCGCTTGGTCCTGATTGGTCACAAAATGCCGTGTCCCTGCAGGTGAGGTATCCTTTTACAGGGATGAAAAACGATACATTCGTCAACTGCAGGTACACAGCATCTTGCGACCAATAACGGCATTGTTTATGCTTCAAAGTTGTCATTGTCAAAATATATCTTGGAAAAAAATAGACTTTAGTTCCTTTAAAAATCTACTTATTTCTAATTAAATTTTTTTCCTATTTTTTTTTTCAGGTGACTATTTGGGTAACGACTTTTTCAAACAAACCTCCAAAAATGCCCGGCAGTATCGATGCGGTTGAAGATAAGGACGCAGACAAAAACAAGGAAAATTTGTCTGAGCAAAATTTAAGGCATACTGATTTAAAAGTAAGAAATTTTTAAAAACCTGTGCCCTGTATATTTTTAACTAGGTATAATTCATGAATATTCATCAGATTGGATCATTTAATTTAACCCAAAAAATCAAGAGTAATTGTTACTGAATTAGCCATAGGTAAATACAGTGATTGTGATACCAATGTCAACAAAAAACATGTTAGAGAAAGCGGGATTATTAAATAGTTTAAACAAGAATTGATAAAAGTTATATCAGTCTAGGAAAATAGTCGAAAAATACATGCATTGCAAAAAAAAAATCCTACCAAAATGAACTTTTCAGGGATGAGTGATCATAAAACCGAAAATATCGAACATTCACCCCTCTGGCGTTTTGCGCTATAGGGGTTGAATGTGCGCCATTGGCGATTACTTGGTACCTATTGATTTTACAAAAAAATGTTTCAAATAGAAGATGTGCAACATTATTTATGTTTATCTAAAGACTTTTTTGATTAAGGGCCATCTATGGTCATAAGGGCCGTTTGAAATTTTATAATGAAAATGAAAAATTTTAACCAACGTGAAAAAAATTTCTACAACACATACAACATTTTTGCTTTATGAATTTTTTACTCACCCCCTGCCGTTTTTCCATAGGGGTAGTTTAAAGTTTTTTTAGGGGTAGTTCGCCTATTTTCAACTTAACAAAAAAAAAATATTGAGAAAACTTGTTCAAAATAATAAAATAAACAAGTTTTCTTTATAATTTTTTTTTGTAAAGTTGAAAATAGGCGAACCACCCCTAAAAACAGAAAGGTGGTGAAAAAAAAATCCTTCTAATGCAATGTTAAATGCTACTTTTATATGCACGAAAGGCGAAAAAAAAAAAAAAAACAATATATACCCCTAAAAACTAAAATTTTCCCAAGGAAAGTGTCCCACCGCTGAATGGGGGTGAGTTACAAAAAAAATTAATAAGGAAAAATTGTAGCAAATGTAATCTTATAAAACTTTTATCAAGAAATTTTTTTTGTAAAAAAATTAAAAAAAATTAAACTACTCCTATTAGAAAAACGGCAGGGGGTGAGTAAAAACTTCATGAAGCAAAAGCGTTGTATGCATTGTAGAAATTTTTTTCACGTTGGTTAAATTTTTTTATCTTCATTATAGAATTTCAAATGACCCTTATGACCACAGACGGCCCTTAATCAAAAAAGTCTTCAGATTTTTTTTTTTTTTTTTTTTTACGGATATGCGCACTCGCAAGGAAATGTCCTATCACGCTCGAGAAGCGGCAAGTGCGCGGAAATGTCGGTGTATGTTGGTCTTGAAACGGTTCAGGTTGTAAGCTGCAGGGAAAACCGTCGCAGGGAGTTTATTCCACAGCGATGCTGTTCTCCAGAGATATGAATTCTGATATAATGAGGTTCTTGGTGCCTCTAGTTTGACAGTAAATTCATGGTTACCGTCTGTTTGACGGGTTCGCCTGGTAGGCGCTACTCTCGGTGGAATCATACGTGCCAACTCTTCAGAGCATTTTCCGTGATAGTACCTGTAGAAGAGAGATAAATCGCCCACAGATCTGCGATGTTCGAGACCATCCAAGTTACGAGTAAGTGCGGGGTCATTGATCAGCTTGATAGCTCGTTTTTGCACGGTGTTCAAAAGCATTAAGGTATGTTTGGGTGCTGCACTCCATATATGTGAGCAGTACTCCATAGTTGGTCGAATCTGGGCTTTGTAGAGTGTCAGCAATTGGCTTGGTGTGTACAGATGTCTTGTACGAAATAGCACCCCAAGCTTTTGGGACGCCCTTTTAGCAATATCTGCCACGTGACTGTGCCAAGACATGTTGGTCTCTGCAGTAACCCCCAAGATGTTCAACTGACTCTGTAATGTGACAGCACTTCCAGATAGCATGATGTTTGGCTCACCGGTGCTGGTCTTTTTTGAAAACAGAGCTGCTTGGGTTTTCTGCGCGTTGAACTGTACAAGGTTTTTGTTACCCCAGTCCTCTATTATCTCCAGGTCGTTATTTATCTGCGATATTTGAGTTAGTCTAAGATGATGGAATTCTCGTGCGGAAGGACCTGTGGGTGGTATGAGTGAGGAGACTATATTGCCATCGTCTGCAAAGCAATAAAGTGGATTTACTGTTTTATCTATGAGGTCATTTATGTAAATCAGAAAAAGAGTTGGCGAAAGGATTGCTCCCTGTGGCACACCAGCATTTATTTGGTAAGAGTTGGAGTTCTGGCCATCCAGTGCAACATAAATGGATCTGTCCTTTAGGTAACTTTCAAACCAAGTGCAAAGTTTCGGCGATAATCCCATTGCTTTGAGCTTGTTGAGCAGATTTTCATGCCAAACTTTGTCGAATGCTTTAGATATATCTAAGGCAATTGTTCTTGTTTCACCCCGCAACTCAATCGCTTTTTGCCATAAGTGAGTGACGTATGTAAGTAAATCGCCAGTTGACCTATATTTTCGAAATCCGTATTGCTTATCGTTGATAATTTTGTACTTTTCCAAGTACTTGGTTAGGTGATTGTTCACAACTCTTTCCATTACTTTTGATATCACCGGAAGTAGAGCAATTGGTCTATAGTTTAACGGATCTGTCTTTTTTCCTTTCTTTGGAATGGGTTGTACTGCGGCAGACTTCCATGATGATGGATATACTCCTTGCCTGTAAGACAAATTGAATAATTTTGCGAAAGTTGGGGTGAGTTCGTTGGCGCAATTTTTGAGTACTATTGCGGGAATGCCATCCGGACCCATTGCTTTGTTTGTATCTAGCTTTTTAAGGGATTTTCGTATTTCTCTGTGACAAAAGGGTACCTCTGGCATACTATGGGAAACCCTTTCAATGAACGGTGGAGTTTTTCCGTTTGGCACTGTTAGGTTGGAGTTGGAGGAAAACATTTGGGCCAGCATATTGGCTTTTTCCTCTGATGTTGTGGCTAAGTGATTATTTTTATCTGTAAGTGGTGGTATGGATGACTTGGTGAAGTTAGATCCAACAGCTTTTGCAAGCGACCAAAAGGACCTAGAACTACTTGGACAATTCAGCAACCTGTTTCTTATTCTTTGATTGTATGTTTCTTTAGCGGAGTCAATTGTAATTTTGCAACTATTTCTGGCTTCTATAAATTCTGTGTGGTTTTGAGCGGTTTGTTGTCGTTTCCAAAGGTTATATGCTCTGTGTTTTTTCTGTACAGCCGTTTGACACTGGCTGTTGAACCAAGGTTTTGCATTAGCTCTACGTTTAGTTGTATGTGGGATATATGCATCCATTCCAGATAAGATTACTTGTGTTATTTCATTACAGCAAATAGTGGGATCAGCTGTTTTAAAGCAAACCTCTTGCCATGGAAAATCCAGGTAAAACTGTTTTAGGTCATTCCATTTTGCCGATTTATAGTGCCACATTTTACGAGGAAGTGGTTGTTGGCTTGGTGGGATGAGCATTTCGCACTTTGTTATTATCAGTTTATGATCGGACGAACCAAGTGGAGCATCTACTTGAATTGTGTACGAGTCAGGATTTGTAGTTAGGAACAAGTCTAAAAGCGCTGCAAATTCGCCCCTTTCTGAGATACGGGTAGGTTCATCGACAAGCTGCGTTAGACCACAACTTATGGCAAAAGCTTCTGCTTCTCTGCCTTCGTTATCTGTTTTGTTGTGGTGTTTCAGCCAGGGTATATTGTGGACGTTGAAATCGCCTAAAAAGACAATTTCCGCCTGTGGATAGTTTGACTGTATACTATCACAGCTTTCGGATAATGTCGCGAAAAAGTTTTGGTACTCGGTGTTAGATGGCGGTCGGTAGAGGCAGCAGATAAACTTGGTCGATGACTTTGAGGTGAATTTTAGCCATATGATATCAAGGTTCGCTGGTTCTAGCTTCTCCTCTCGATGACATGAAAGGTCATTTTTAATGTACACACAGATCCCAAAATTATGTCGAAATCGGTGGTGTAGGTCATAGCCGGGATAAAGATAGTTCACAATAGGTGTTGCAGAACTGATTTTAGTTTCAGTGAGAACAAGGATGTCAGGTCTTTGTTCTTCAAGATGTTGGTGAACTGAATTCATATTTGTACTTATTCCTCTTATATTGCTAAAATCAATTCTGAGTTGAGTTTTTGATCTTCTCTTTATATCTTTGCATGAAGGACCCCCAGGATCACCCGACGCCCGGAGATCCGAGTGGTCGGGTATTTTACCTCCGGAATATTTTGATCCTGGAGGCGCCATCATGCTATCTGTTACTCATTATTGGAACCGGACTGCCAGCGCAGTAGCGGAACGTGGTGATACCACTTAGCGCTACTCAATTCTGGCATGGTGGTATCTCACCGGTCGACGCCCAATGAGTAAAAAGCGTCTACCACCTATCTATTTATTTTCTTCGTACTTCAAAATGAAATTATAGAAAAGAACATTTTTCGAAAGTCTCCTGGATAGTAGTGGAGAAATTTGTTGTGGAGGTGCTTATACCTTAGTAATCGCCAATGGCGCAGAGGGGTGAATGTGTGATATCGTCGGTCTTATGATCACCCACCCGCCCCCTATCATCCCTGAAAAATTAATTTGGGTAGGAATTTTTGTTTTGAAAATCGACAATTTTCCTAGACTTTATGTATAGCCTTCATGATTTACCCGTTTAAATAGTATATTGTTTTATTAGGAGTAAAAGTGATACTTTTTGTGGCAAGGCTAAATGTTTGACGGCCGAACGTAGAGAGTCCGACAATTTTAGACGAGCCACAAAAAGTGCTTTTTTCCGAATAAAACATGCGATTTTTTCCGCAAACGGTGTTCAAAGCGATGGAAACCAGGTAGTTTCTGTGACGTCACTTTTTTGTCCGGCCATGAGCGTACAAAAATAGTTATTTGTTTCACTAGGCAGAAAAGTACAAGATTTAATGCCGCGGCTGGTGTTTCATAGCCGAGGCGTAGCCGAGGCTAGGAAACCAGCCGAGGCATTAAACCTGCTTTTCTGCCATGTAAAATATATAATTTTTTCTCCGAATGTTCAAATTCACACATGGACATCTTTTTTATATTTATTTCATTCATTATTATTATCCAAATAATTAAATTATTTTGACAATTGTCATTGTCACCATCAATTTCGAATACCAAATTGAGTGAAAATATTACCTGGAACGTTGCGACACTGTCACTTTTAATGCCTAGGCAGTAAAAGTACACTTTTACTGCCTAGGCAGTAAAAATACAACTTTTGATCCTGTCAAGTGTCATTAAAAAGCCGCTTTTACTGTCATTCGGAGAAAAAGTACTTTTTTGTACGCTCACGGAACGCGCGGACAAAAACGTAACCAAAACAATGACGTCTGTGAAGTCAAACTTCAACATTAAGAATTGAGGTTAAAGAAGTCGTCATTTTTTGACGTTTGCGGAAAAAAGTTTTTATAGTATTGATATAAAACCTACAAAATCTTCAGAAAATAATTTATCTCGATTTAAAACACAAAAAACTTCCTTTTTCTACAAACGTCACTAAAAGTGTCATTTTTAACGGATGCTGTCAGTGTCTAAAATGCCATTTTATGACACTGGTGCTAAAAGTGATTACTTTTAGCACTAGTGCTAAAAGTAATCACTTTTAGTGCGTTTCTAGAAAAAATAGTGTATGATATTCGTGCTAAAAGTGATTTTATTTTGTTCAAAGGGATGGAACACTCCGCCTTCGGCGTCGTGTCCCAAACTTCCCTTTTCACAAAATAAAATGTCACTTTTAGCACTTATATCATAAATAACTATTTTAAAACAGTTTGAGAGTACAATCATTATTTACTAGCTTGATAATGTGTGGGTTGGGTGTGGGTGGCAATCCTGTTAACCTAAATGAAAATGATATAGCTATCGGCCCTGGACCAGCAACGACCGACCTTTTCTTACGTGAAAAAAGCTGCTAAATGGAGGTTAAAGTAACAGCCCTGACCCAACTTTTTTCCCAATGATGCTTTATAATTCATCTTATTTTGAAGCTCATTGTTTTTCTAAGTTAATTTTTTTTTATTTGAGAATTTCAAGCTCAATTTTACTTAAAATAATTATTCAGAAACAGGGTATAAACTGGACCCCATTCGAGTAGTATCATTTGGATCTTCACATTTAAATTAGAATTAATTCTGCAGATATCTGGAAAAAAACAAAAAATCGTGTTTATTTTTGACTTCGGTACTTTACAGACGAATAATAATATGGTAGATAAGGGTGAAAATTTGATAAAAGCAATTCGTTAAAGGGAAGGATATTTTTTTCTTCGCTTTATTTTAAAGTATTTTGAGAATATTATTTTACATCGGCGTTGCCAGTTTTTCTCCTCTGCAAGAGGATATTATTAAATACGAAGGTGTATTTTTGTTACTTGATTCTAGTAAATATTAAAAACGATTTACCGAAACATAGTTTTTTCCGCATATCTGAGTAAGTATTTTGAATTTCTCGAATGTCAATATGGCATTTCATTAAGCAATAAAATGCGCAACTTTGAACAATCCAATAGTACAAATTTGGTCTACCCCGTAGGTACTTAATCAATCGAATTGAAACCTAACCCAACCTTGATAAAAATTTATATTTATACAATACATGTGTATCATAGTGAGCAAGATTGAGAAGCATATAACATATAAAAGAAGCTTTCAAATGTTTTACAAACTGTATTCATGAAAATGTCCAGTTTTGTTAGAGTTAAACTTGATTCCACTGTTACAGATTTGTACAGTAATACTTACCCAATTGTTTTTATTTTTTTAAATTTGGAACAACACTATAACTTACTGAATATGTTCCATATAGTATTTTTAGTACCCATTTGGAGAAATCCCATCCTTGTTTATCAATCATGAATCAGATGAAACAAAAAATTACCAACAAATCACTAAAACGACTGGTAAACGACCGGTACCTCCAAATATTTATTGAAAATACTATACAAATCATATTTTTGATTTATTATAATGCAGGTATTTCATTGAGGAGATTTTACATTTTTTGGTCATGGAATTTAAAGTTCACACAAGAATGTGACATGATGTAATAATAATAGCATCTCAGGAGATTAAATTGGGTTTTCGACGTTATCTAAAATTGTCCATAATTAAACAGTCTTTTATGTTATTACTTTATGATAGCACTGACGATGAGAAATCCTAAACGCAAAACTGTATTATGCCTGGATATAACAAACTGAACTGAGTACATACAGTGACGCATATGCCTAGCATGAACATCATGTCACCTGACAACTTTATTCAACAGATCTTTGACCAAGCTTTACACTTTTGTGAACAAGTGTTCACAAATTCAAGTGTTTCAACTCAGACATTGTAGCACCGTGTCAAATAGACAAATCTCCAAAAATAAACATTTTGAAACCTCTGCAGAATAGCCTAATAGTAGTGGGTTTTAGCAACTTTCGCATCCGCACTCTTTGTTGATACACGAGCTAGTACCAAGATACCGCTTTTCCGGTTAAAGCACTAATTGAAGCATGCTTTCGGACATTGCGAATTGAACTTGAAAAAGACTGTAAATCACTCCGTAGTATATTGAATATTTAATTGTATAAAAGAAAAAGTTAAGCTGACGTAGCTTCAAAGCTGGAGCCCGAGAACGTTCAAAGTGAAAAATCTGAAGCTTCAAAGACAAAAGGCATAACCTCTCTCTCTTTTGAATCTCTAATGGCCGTTTCCACCAACTATTTTAGGGGAGCCTTAACGATAAGTATTCCTTAAACTGACATTTCGTTATGTAAAACTGTCATTTTAGGAAATACTTATCGTTAAGGCTCCCCTGAAGTAGTTGGTGGAAACGGCCATAAGCAACTATTCAACAAAATTTTAATTGTTTTTTCTGGTACGACTTCTACTGCCGTTGTTCCGCGATGAGTTCGCGCTGATTCCCGAACGCATTATCGCGTTCAGTTCCTTCAAGACATGACAGTTCAATCAAAAATAATAGACCTATCTCCCATGATTAGAAAAAGGAAGCCTCATTGTAATAAATACAAGTCAGAAAACAATAAAAGATGACATGCGCGCGCAACTCGTAGGCTGCAGTGTAGCCAGATTTTATTGTTGCAGAACAAATTTAGACAATACAAATCGAACATTATAACATTAAAGAAGTAATATAGTCTCAAGTGTTTCACAACGCCTTAAATCAGACAAAAAAAGAGCTTTAAAGTGGATAAACATCGTTTGCACTTTTATTTTGATAAATGTTTCATCCGGCAACATCGCTCAATGAAATTGCAAAGGAATATGTCAAGTATAATCTAACATAACCTTAAATGAAAATGCGGAGTTCAAGTAATATATAAAGTATTAGTTTGCTCTTTGTCAAATTACACGTTACAGAGAAAGAAGGAACGATTCATTCTGAACTGGCCCCTGAATAAGAATATGACGCAAGCCTGTCATAAACTTCCTTCTGATTGGATGCTCACCTGCAACCTACGAGCGACGCGCGCAGTCCAGGTAATAGGAGATCGGTCTATTATTTGGAAAGAAATGAAAATCAATTCCAAATTAATTTGAAATTATTCGTTCCAACACTCTTGAAGCTGTAATATGGCCGCTAGCGATTAATCAAGGTTAGGAAAGATATGAGGGATAGAAAGATGGGGAACTTTCATGCATTTCTAAATAGAGATTTTTCCGAATCAGCCAGGCAAAACGTCCGAAACGGAAGGCAGCAAAAACAGATAGATATGGCAATATTCAGACAGATAAAGCAGAGGATCTTGAAATAACTACTAATGCACCCCACACACTACGCGATTTTTTGGCAGTTAGACCCACATACGTTTCAGAACGAAATGTTCCGTCGTGCCAAAAAATAAAGCTCGGACTGAATTTTAAACCGACGATGAGACACGACGGTTTTCTACCAAACACTTCGGTTTTAGATCGTCGTTTCATCGCGGCGATGAAAACCGACGAGAAAGAACGTAGTGCTTAACCCTTAACGTAACCCTTAACAGAAAAAAGGCGAAAAGTACAGGACAGATACCGAAGGTCAAGTATTTTGGATCGGATGATATCCCAGAAATAAATACTATCGAATGGAAATGAAAAATAACAGGGGATGAGGATATAAAAGTCGAGTCGATTAATGGAAAGGCACAACACCTTTCCAGTGGCATAAGGACATTATTATCATTATACAAAAATGGAGCGAAATGTCTTGTGGTTTTTCTGTTAATTTTCATTTCCTACGGTGCTAAGTAAAATAAATATCCAATATAACTTTCCGTTCCACACATACCTATAATTTTTTACCACATTTAGCTGATATATCCTAATATTAACACAAGGGGGCGAGCCCTGTAGGGCTTGCCACTGTGTTTGTATAATTAAATTACTAGCAAACAAGATAATAATAGTCCAAAGGATATAGTCACAGACAAGTGTGGGTGTGTCTGAGCCTGAGCCCCATAGGGCTCACAGATTATTTAGTTAAATTTAATATAACAAATATTCTCTTCCAGTTTGGACATTTGCAAAACAAACCAGCATCAGAAGCGAATCCAGATCTTAAGCTACGATTTAATGATTATGAGTAAGTGTCTGAAATTTAAGCAAAATGGGCTTTAGAAATGTTCATTTATTTTAGTAATGCAAACGATGACGATGAATTTTTGACTCCCAAAAAAAGTAACGCCAAAGAAGAAATACCTGCTAAAGATAATCCAACTCTTATTGAAGGTACTTTACCTTTCCTTAGAAGCAGCGCTAATACCGATGTAAGTAACAATTTTCTCATACGTTATCAAATTATTTAATGCCATACCTATAGCAACAACCTCAGGCATTAAGACATTATTGGTGCGTGATTTTCAGCTTTTTTGGTCTTTTTTAGGTATTTAAAAAAATCTAAATGTATAGCCAAGACCATATTGTGAGAAAACTGTAAAGACAATATTAATACAAAGTACCATATTATATTTTTAACACACTGTGCCAGCAATACGCATTTCTCTTTCACCTCATTGCCTCTTCTTTTTTCTTCAGTACCTATGCATTATCAAGTATTCCAATTTAACCGGTCTAATGTCGTTCAAAACTCTCTCTGTTCATCTAGATGTTTTTTTGCAGAGACTTGGATGCAGACCTCGAGAATCCACATAAGGAGGCACTGATGATTGAACAAATTTTTTTCGAAGTTGTTATGAAATTCGTAATTTCTTCGGCGACTTCGCTTACTCAGTTTCTTTGGGTTCAATTATTCCTTGTTGTTAGAGTGTCTTGTGTCTTCCGTGTCAATTTTTCATCCAAAATTCCCGGTGCCTTCTTCATTCGGCCGCCTATTTTCGAATTAAAGTCACCACACATATACAAGAAGTGTATGAAGTCAGTGAATCTCGTTGTTGTATTGTTGTTGAACGGATTTATTAATGGAATGAAAAGCTGTGTGTGTTAAAGTCACACAACCAACAATTGCGTAATCGACTTTTGAACTGCCCGAACGGATCAAGATCCTTTCGCTCCTTTGCCAAGACCATAGGAAAAAAAATCTCATCTTCTTCCTTTCCACCTTTAGTTAAGGACAATAATTTCATTGTTGTATCGGAAAAAGCAGCTGGAGTACTATGTAACGGATAGAGATCGTTATTTCTATCTCTATGGCACTTGCTGTCTTCTTCTCTCTTTTCGAAATCAATAGAGAAGGGACGTCAATAGAGATAGAGACAATATCTCTATTCGTTACATAGTCCCAGGGCAGATCTCTTTGCTAAACAATTTGCATCCAATTTCACTATGGAGGAGAATGGCAGAGTGCCACCGATACTGCCACACATTGGTTCTTATATGGACAACATCTTATTAACACACTCTTCCTAGCAATTATTGTCCCATCTCGCTTATATCCGTACTTTCGAAAGTAATAAAACTGGTCAAATATCTATCTCGAAGCCAATAAGCTCATCTCTGACAAACAGTACTGGTTCTGTTCTAAAAAATGGGAATCTGCTGGCGCACTTTAGTAATATTTGGAACTCGACGTTCGGGCAACATGGCAAATCCAGAATTGTTTTGATCCTGTGTGGCACAAAGGTCTCCTCCAGCAAACTTCCATTGTATGGTCTCCCGAACGAATTTTTCCATTGGCTGCGAAGCTTTCTGGAAGACAAGTCAGTGCATGTTGTGGACGATGGTGTATCTTCTGATACACTGCCTATAAATGCCGGCGTTCCCCCAGGCTCAATTCTGTCCCCTACAGTGTTTCTCATTTTTATAAATGATTCTTTAAATTTGCCAAGAAACCCCATATACAGAGTTTGTTGTTGCTTCCATAGATTCAGTTGCATGACGCATTATTTTTCTGCTTCCCAAGATGTAATATACCTACCTTCTTAGACTTTTGCGGTGGAGTATAGAGAATTGAAAGCTCTTTTAAAAGAGGTATCACTCGACCCCTTGTTCCATTTGAAATAGTAAGGGTTGGTCCTACCCTGCCTAAAGGGTTAAAGTGGAAGTGCTAAGAATGGTTGCAGAAAACTTTCCCCTTTGAAAATCGATTTACGTGTACGAACGATTTTTTGAAAAATAAACGTGGCAATAGATATTCAGCCGGTTTCGTTTTAAATGGTACACCCTGTATATTAACCAGCCAAACTGTTCCTATTAAGTCTAAGAATCTATATAGGAATGTTTGATACTAGAGTTCCTTCAATATTTTTAATAAGTCCCAATTATTGTCCACCATATTTGAAAATGTCTAATGTTACTAGCATAGGTACTTTCAAATATGTCTATCAATTTTTCAATTTTCATAAAATCATTTTGAGATTTCCAAAAACATACAACGTCATCGGCAAAAGGCGGATACCTTTATCTTTTGATGATTTATTTCCAGCCCTTGAGTTGAGAAATCTATTAGTCTCAAATACGGTTCCAAGCTGATGCTAAGAAGTAGGTAACATTGACAGGGGACATCCTTGGCGAATAAAAATTTTTACTGAGAAACTATCTGAGATAAAACCATTAACCAGGACTTTTGCGAGAAATATCCGTGAACTAGGCTATATTTAATGTTATTATTAATAATGCTGAATGTACATTTTGTTTTCATAAAAAGAATTGATTGTGTTTAATATGTAACATTGATTTCGTGTCAAAGCTCGCTGCTGTTCGTAATTGATTGTTCACCTTAGTTAAGAAACGTATTGTAAACTAGTTAAGGCCTTTATTTCGAAAAATAAAACTTTTTTAAAAGTCACTCCGTTGGTCGTGGAACTTAATTGGCGCTGCGAACAGGATAGCGTGATTTCGTACTTTATCGGTTTTCGTTGTGCGAAAGTGGTTTTCAAGCCTTTACGCGCTATATGAACAAAAAACTTTTCCGCGATTCGTCGTTGGTGTTGATGTGAACTCACTGTACCAGTTGTGTTGCTGTGAACCGTGAACCCCTAGAAAGTCAAACCAGGAATTGGTGAAACCACAAGTCCTTGCCGAAACTGTGAGAGACGCCTTGAGTCCCGTTCCTGACTTCCTGACGACGCTGACCAACAACCCGGACAAGAAACCATTTGGCCACGCCTTTATAGGATTACCTTTGGTCGTGAACCTCTGCAAGACAAGCTCTATGGATTCATTCATGATTGTATTGTAAGTTATTGCTGAATTGCTATTTAATGTCCAAAAGTTTAAAAAGTATTTTATTGCGAAATAGGGCTTCTTTAGGATTAACTCTTAATAATTCAGATTCAGAAAATAGTGAATCAGATAATTCTGATAACGAATTTGATAACACACTTACTCCCGAGCGAGAAGAAGAGTAAGCAAACTTACTTGAAAACTTAAATTTAAATCCTAATTCTAATCCTATTAAAATGGAAAATATCAGGTTCTATACTTCTTTATTGCCAACTTTCTCTGGTAATCAAGACCATTTAGAGAGTTTTATTTTATCTATAGATGAATTCTATACTCTTTATTTCAATAATAGTGAAGATCAGAAAAAAGTAGTTCTGGCCGCTATTAAATCCAAGCTTGTAGATGATGCTCGTAATTTCTTACTTTCCAGACCAGATCTTGGCACCTGGTTAACTATAAAAGAGGCACTAAGACAAAAGTTTGGTGACCCAATTAATTATCAAATTCTTATGCAACAATTACAGTATCTTAAAATTAGTAAAACCGAAAATATTTTAGAATTCGTAGAAAAGTTGAAATCTTTTGTGCAAAGAATTACTTCTAAAGTTCAGTGCGAAATCCAAGATGCAAACTCAAAATTACTTGTTCTTAGTCAAGTGGAAAATACAGCTGTTCTTATATTAACGGCAAATTCTCCGCAAACATTAAAAACAATGCTAATGTTACAACGCCCTAGTACCCTAAATGAAGCCTATACGCACGTTTTAAATTATAATATGGTCGAATCACAAGTTAATTTTACTAACAATTATTCATCTCTACAAAACAACGTTCATAAACCACAAAATAATCAATTTAATCGGAATGTAACCGGTAAGTCATCAAATCTAGCCGCCTCAGCACAAAGTTTTCCGAGTCAACCCATTTTCGTACAATCCCAGCCAGTACGAAGACACTTTCCTACGAACGCCCAGGTGTTTGGTAAACAAACAGGACCTTCACCCTCACAAAATAATAAGATACCTCCCAAACAAGACGCTCCCGTCCCTATGTCTACATCTACCGCGGGACCTTCCCGGATGTATCAACAGAGACAACCCTCTGTAAGATATCCCAATTTCTTCCAATCTACAGGACCTAGAAATTTTTCATTTCAAGAATTGTCCAACGTAGAAACACACCCTCAAGCTTCGTACTATGATTCCTATTTTGAAAACCCTGCAGATTTTTCACAGTCACAAGAGTTCTCACAACCTTATGCTTATCCTGAGGAACAAAATTTTTCTCAAGATCTCAGGCCAGATATCCCTGACCAAAATTTTAATGTTGAACAAAATTTCGAATGCTTCGAGGAAAACAATTCTGAAAATTTTCAGCTACCAGCCTCGAGTCAAAAATCAACATAAACAATTTGGCACAGCAAATTGAACTCCCATATTTCTATCTTCATCAAAAACAAATAACAATACTTATCGATTCAGGCGCCTCTGAATCCATCATCTCCCCAAAAATTGCCCAGTTATACCCCAAAAATATATTCTTCGAACCCTTCGAAGTGACTGCTTGCAAAAAAACCTATAAAGAAAACAAAAATCTTAGAATACCACTTCTGCAAGAACTAGGCATAAATCAAGTTTTTAAATTACGTATTTTAAATTGGCATAACGATTTTGACGCCTTAATAGGAACTAAAGATCTAAAAAATCTAAACGCCCTTATTAATTATGAGAACAAAACTTTAACTCTAAACAACATCAAAATACCTTTTTCGCTTGCATACAACAAGCCACTAACTGAGCCTATAAAAAATCATAACAATAATTTTTTAGTAATTCCAGTTAACTATGAAAAAGGCATAGCTATCTTACCCTCCTTTGCAATAAATGATCACATAATCCCTGATTCATTAATTGAAGTAAAAAATGGACTTTGCAAAATCCCTAATCCGACTCCAAATATATGCATTAATTTCCACCAAAGAGCTAAAGTCATCCCACAGGACCAATTTGAATTGTTAGACCCCTCTTTCGATTCTGTACCAAAACTCAATGTCGAAAAATCTCTGAGACTAGATCATTTGACTCCTCTCGAAAAAACAAAAATTATTCCCCTCTGTCACGAATTCAAGAATATTATGTACCATGAA